CCCTGCCCCAGCGTTGGGCCCAGTGTGCCGTCACTATTGCAGCAGTGGGCCTGCTTGGGAGCAGCAGGCTCTGCTTGGGAAGCTGATGCGTGAGGGGGGCCAGGACCCCATCTTCCACATGACCACCAACCACAGTTGCCCCTGCGCGTGACATGAGGTTTTTTCCCAGGGATAGGCCATGTGTGGAGTGTTTTGATCAGGCCTGGTCACCCTGGGAGTGAGCGGCCCTGGGTGGGCAGTCACCTCTGCTCTGCACTACCTTGCAGCTGTCCCACTGAGCAGCAGGGCGTGGCACCCCCCCAGACAACTCTGGATGCACACAGTCACCTGCAACCTCCAAGGTCAGCGCAGGGAGAGGACACACCTGAGGCCGGTGGCTGGCCTGACACCCGGGGCCAGCTGGTGGAAAGGGGCAGCCATGTCAGCCAAGGTAACTGGGTGGGGCAGCGGCAGTGGCCAGCCATGGACACATGGTCACTCATTCGGTGGGCACAGGCAGTTAGAGGGCAGCATCAGGCTTGGGGTCAGACAGATCTGCATTCCAGCCTGCCACTCCTGGTGTGGCCCGGTGCCCCCGAGCTTCCCTGTCTCTGTGTCTGAGTGCGGCAAAGCGTGCAGCAGGCTTGCCTGCAGGTGGCCGCCCCGTGTACACCTCGAGCAACATTTCTGAGACGGGGAACGAGGGCTGCTCTGGCTGGGGAAGCCATCCCGACAGGCTCTCCTGCTCACGGAGGGCTCTGCCAAGTGCAGGCCCCAGGCACACATACCAGCCGAGAACAGCTCCACCTGGCCGAGTCTAACCTCCGCCAAGGGTGGAAGGGGGATCAGGCTGCACCTGCCCTGCCCTTGGCCCAGGAGCCACGTTTAGCAGGCTCAGGGCTGAGTGGGCCCTCGGGTCACTCGGGCCTCCAGGCAGTGGACGTGGTGGGGGCAGAGGGCCTTTTGCTCTTTGTCCTGCTGGGAAGAGACCACTCCCCAAGCACGTCAGCTCCCACTGGCCCACAGACGCCCCAGGAGGGGCCCACGGGCAGCTGGTGTGGCCACCCAGTCTGGCAGGGTAGACTGCCTCATCCCTTCCCCTCCTGGCCTCAGTCTCCCCTCTGTACAATGACGAGATCAGATCAGGTGGTGTTCATTTCCTGACACTGCCGTGACACACCACCATGGACTGGGTGAATTCAAACCATAGTTAATTCTCTCCAGCTTCTGGAGGCCAGAGGGCTGAAGTCCAGGCATCAGCAGGGCTGTGCTCTTTCAGAGGCTGCAGGGGAGGATCCTCCTGCCTCTTCCACTTCTGGTTTTCCAGTTCTGGTGGCCCCTGGTGCTCTGTGGCTTGTGGCTGTGTCGCTCCAATGTCTGCCTCCATCTTCATATGGCCTCTCCTCTGTGTCTGTGTCTTTTCCTCTTCTGTCTCTCTCTTTTTTTTTTTTTCCTTTTTGTCTTTTTTACTGACTGGTAACGGGATCGCAACCCTCGGTGTCACGCCCGTACCGGGGACCGGCAATGAGATCGTATAACTTCGTATAATGTATGCTATACGAAGTTATGCCACTCCCAAGCAGCGAACTCTCCAGTGCGCCACCGGGCCGGCCCTCTTCTGTCTCTTTTAAGGACACCTGTCATTGGAATGATCTGGGATGATCTCATCTCAAGATCCTGAACTTAGTTATATCTGTAAAGATTCTATTCCAGATAAAGTCACATTCACAGGTTCTGCAGGTTAAAACTTGGACAAACCTTTTTATGGGGCACCATTCAATCTACTACAGGTGGCCTCTGAGGTCCCTTTCTGCCTTAGGCAAGGCCAGTTTAAGAGGCAAGCGTTCCCCCACCCCCACCCCTAACCAGCCCGGTTCCTCAGCCAGCCCCACACAGCAGGGGCTGAACACTGCCACCTCCCAACCCACCCTGGCTTCCCAGTTGCTCACGATCCTCCAGCCAAGGTGCCGGTCTCAAAGCAGCGACATGAATTTATCAGCACCGCACTCTCCCGAGTGAGCCACAGGCCGGCCCCTGCGACATGAATTTAAAGAAACCTCCTGTGAGCAGATAAAAATGATACATTGCAGAGGGGCTCCAGAGCCCTGCTCACGGAACTCCTCCCGCCCCGATGTGACCCCTGGGAAGTGTCTTGGAACCCTACGGTGCCCTGGAGCAAGGTCTGGGGAGCACGGGGTGGAGGCTGTGCCTCTGGGACGTGGGCATCAACAATGAAGGGATCAGAAGAGGATCTGGGGGAGGGGCAGGGGACAGGAAGGAGAGGGGGGTGCACAGGGAGGGCATCAGGAGCGGCTCTGGGCTCCCAGCGGGGCAGGGCAGGTGGGCCACAGCGTGGAACCTTCCTCGGCCACCAGCTCTGCATCCTCCCCAGTTCCGGGGACTCCCCCCACCGGCTGGCTGGTGCCAGCAGCTCTCAGGACTGTGTCTTTCAGATCCTGGGCAGCGGCCACACATCTGTCTCCTGGGCCTTCAGCACATGAGCTCCCTGGACATCAGACAGCCACTGGCCCCAGCCTTTCCTGTATGTAAACTCCCAGGAAGCCCTTCTCCCCCAACACTGCCTGTTTCAGGGACCCCCCCATTCTGCCAATCTGTGGCTTGGTCATGGTGGGGGCCCTGGGCGCTGGCATGTCCTCAGTTTCTGTGATGCTGCTGGGTCTCTCAGCCAGTCCTGAGCCCTTGGCACCCTCTCCCCACACAGCGTCTTTCCTCCTATCTTATCCACACAGGCTGTCCAGGTGGAAGGGAGCCCCTCCACAGCTCAGCTCAGGTTGCAGGAGTCCAAGGAGCCACCCCCAGGTAAGCCCCCTGGAAATGGCTTGTGTGCCTCCCCTGCATGGGTCTTGCCAGAAGCTTCTCCCACATCCAGAGGATCCTGTCTGAGACTGGTGCCCAGCTGCCAGACAAGGACAGGGAGGCCCACAAGGGAAGTGGAAGAGCACAGGCCTTGCTGGCCTGCCACCCTGGCCGCAGACCCCTTCACCGCTAGAAGACTGGCTGGCTCCATTTCTCACAGGAGATGACATGGCTGCTCTTCTGGTGAAATTAAAAATCACAATTTGTTCTGACTGTTTTAGTCACAACTTTGTTTATCTGCAACAAATTTTAAGTATTTGGAAATCAGCATTGCTAGAAGCATCTTCATTAGCTAACGTGAGGCTTTTGAACATATAATTCTTCCCTTTCTGAACCGTGCACTTGGCCCAGAGGCCTCACTGAGTGCCAAGTCCCTGCTCTGCAGGTGTGTGTGTGTGGGGAAGCCCTGGTAGAGTGGCCGGTGGCAGCTGGCTGAACAGTGGACACCCGCGAGTCTGCCAGACTGGGCTCCCTGCATCTGGGCCCGAGAGAGCAAACCCCGGGACAGATCAGCTGGGATGGGAAGAGTTGGACTCAGCCAGGTGGGCTCCCCAGGAGAGGCCTGGAGGCGCTGGTGGGCAGAGGGGATGGGAGCGCATTTCTGCGACCCCCGCCCCCCACACCGAAGTCAGCCCACGTGGGCTGCTGTGGTCACCGCGAACGTTTGCTCAGCCTGAGGCCTCCTTTGTGGTCAGCACTGCTGCCCCCACAGCCACATGTACTGGCCGTCACCGTTCTGGGGCCCTGCCAGACACCTGCACCCCTCTCGGGTCCTCGGGTCCTCCCAAGGTGGGTGCTCATCATACCCACTGTGCAGAGGAGGAGACTGAGGCCCGGGGAGCCCAAGCGACTGGATCACAGTCACAGAGCTCGTTAGCAGGAGGCCCGGGATCCACCCTGGGTCTGTCTGACAGCGCCACTGCTCTCTGGCCAAGAGACCATGCTTGCAAGGGGTTCCCTGGGCGACACGCCATCGTGGCCATCCAGGAAGCCCGGGGTCTCTCCTGCAGGGCCCCTGTCACCTTGGCCTTCACCAAGGGCCGAAGATGAGAGGGGGGTGTTCCTCTTAGCAGGGGTTCCACACATCTGGGCTCTAGCCTAACAGCGCCAGTTCCCTTGGGTCTGGGTGTCCCAACAACCTGCCAGGTCCCAGTGGGGATGAAGGACGACGGTGTGGGGAGATGGTGGTGTCACAGGTGAAGGCCCTGGTGCTCCCTGGGGAAGGCTCTGCTGTGCCCCCCGCCTTGTCCCCATGTTGCTGGTCTTCCAGCTGTGCCGCAGGTGACCTTCCTGTGTCCTGTCCCTGCGTGGCCTCCCCGCCCCCACCAGTGTCCGTGCAGGAGGCGTGTGGTGCCCCTCAGTGCACACCCCGGGGGGTCACCCAGGAGAAGGAGCGAGCTGTGGCGAGGGGTTTCCAGCCACGTGTCGGAGTTTCTCCAAAGTACAGAAAGAGTTCTCTAAATTGTAAATGATGTTCTGTAAGCTTTCTAAGCTTTCGTTGGGGACTTCACATCACTCGCTATCCAACAACAGGATAGCTTTAGGAGCAGCCCAAAGTACAGAAAGAGGTCCCTAAATTGTAAATGATGTTCTGTAAGCTTTCGTTGGGGACTTCACATCACTCGCTATCCAACAACAGGATAGCTTTAGGAGCAGATTGCCACAAATTCTCACGTTCTCATCCTAACCAAATACAATGAAGAGTGTTGCCTCCATTTGGATTTTAAGATTTCTTTCGTGTGGCTTCAGGATGCCTGGGAGCTGCTCCCTCTGGCCCCTGCATCTGTGCTGCCAGGGCTGACAGTCCCTCTGCCCTGCAGGAGAGCCTCAGACCAAGCCCAGCCCTGCCTCAGCAGAGCAGAAGGCCTGGGCTCCCGCAGACAGCCGGGGACGAAGCTGGAGCCGGCACACCCCATCCAGGGGCAGAGAGGTCCCCTGTGGTCCCCGCAGAGCCAGCGTGAGTCGGGCATTGGCCCTGCGCTTTCTGAAAGCCCAGTCGGGCTGGCCCTGCTGTGTGGCTTGTTGTGTGGCCTTGTTGTGGGGGGATGTCCCCCGGTCCATCACATAGGGGTGTTATGGGTGGGATGGGAGCTTCAGAGGCCCTTCCCAGCAGATTCATTTGGTTCCGAGGTTCACCAATTCCCTGGGTCTCACCCCAAGATTCAACATGTGGGCAGAAAAAAAGATGGTCTTTTCCATGGCAGGAGGGCTGTGGCTCATTAATCGGTCTTTGGAGCCCATTGGTAGGAGGGGTGTCTGGTGAGTGGGGTCCCCATGGCCCTCTTTGGAGGGATGGTCTTTGTCCCTTAGCCATGGTTGCCTCCCCTGCATGGGTCTTGCCAGAAGCTTCTCCCACATCCAGAGGATCCTGTCTGAGACTGGTGCCCAGCTGCCAGACAAGGACAGGGAGGCCCACAAGGGAAGTGGAAGAGCACAGGCCTTGCTGGCCTGCCACCCTGGCCGCAGACCCCTTCACCGCTAGAAGACTGGCTGGCTCCATTTCTCACAGGAGATGACATGGCTGCTCTTCTGGTGAAATTAAAAATCACAATTTGTTCTGACTGTTTTAGTCACAACTTTGTTTATCTGCAACAAATTTTAAGTATTTGGAAATCAGCATTGCTAGAAGCATCTTCATTAGCTAACGTGAGGCTTTTGAACATATAATTCTTCCCTTTCTGAACCGTGCACTTGGCCCAGAGGCCTCACTGAGTGCCAAGTCCCTGCTCTGCAGGTGTGTGTGTGGGGGGAAGCCCTGGTAGAGTGGCCGGTGGCAGCTGGCTGAACAGTGGACACCCGCGAGTCTGCCAGACTGGGCTCCCTGCATCTGGGCCCGAGAGAGCAAACCCCGGGACAGATCAGCTGGGATGGGAAGAGTTGGACTCAGCCAGGTGGGCTCCCCAGGAGAGGCCTGGAGGCGCTGGTGGGCAGAGGGGATGGGAGCGCATTTCTGCGACCCCCGCCCCCCACACCGAAGTCAGCCCACGTGGGCTGCTGTGGTCACCGCGAACGTTTGCTCAGCCTGACGAACAGAGAACCCCCCGTCTGCCACCTGATCTGGTGGAGACTGAGACCAGATGCCCCACAAGGACAAGCCCCCAGGAGCTCTGGTGGCCACCTCGCGTGGTAGATGGTTGGCAGGCGTTGTCTGAGAGTGGGGTAGTAGACTGGCCCCTGTGGGATCCCTGATGCGAGCCCTGGGGAGGAGGCTGGCGGGACCAGGCCCCCTCCCGCGGCCGCTCCAGGACATCTCCGTGAATGTGCTTGCAGGAAGGAGGCCTGTCAGCAGGAGGACCGTGGCGCGCCCTCCGCCCAGCTGGCTGCCTCCCCAGGTGCTGCCCCCNCCTCCCCAGACCTTGCCCCCGCCTGGCTCAAGAACCATGGAGTCCCCACTTCAGGGTCATCAAGGCCAGTTTCTAGTCAGAGCCAGGCCTCCCCTGCAGCACACGGATCCCTGCCCTGCGCTGCCTGGCCGGGAGTGGCGTGGCCGTGGGCGGGCTCCCTGTCTGGCGTGTTCCCATGGCAAGTGAAAACAACAGAAGGCAAAGCCGACCGCTGGGTCTTTGAACAGCAGCCGCAGTCCTGTGGGGCCGGGTCCTGAGACGCGGAAGCATCCACAGAACGTGGCTCATTTGCATGTGGGCGTGGGCAGGGCAGTCAGCCACTGGGTTGGCATCAGAAGGCTCCAACATGTTGGTGCTGCCGACGTTTTCTTCTGCCTCTGTTTGGGGTGTTTTTCTGGTTTGGACCCGCTGGCTTTGGGGCCATGGGGTGGGTGCTGCTCTTGCTAGCGTCAGGTGGGGGCTGCTTCAGGGGTGGGGGTCCAAGGGCAGATGCTGTTGGCGTATCCCCAAACTCCCACTCTCTTGGCAGCTCCTGTGGCCCCCGAGGAGGAGGTGCCACCCACCCAACGCCAAGGTAGTCCCCTGCCCCAGCTGACTCCTCCTTGGGACCTGGGTTCCGCATCTGCTTCTGGAACTTGCTCGGTGTCTTCAGAAGCCCCGGCGGCATCCCACACCTCCACGGCAGGCTCTGCGAGTAGCCCGTCCTGTCCCTCTCTCCAAGAGTTTCAGAAAGCAACTGCCACCCTGGTCCAGCTTTCTGAGAGCTCCAGCTCCCTGTCCAGCTTGGAAACTGAGGACACCCCAGGTGCAGACCTTAGCAGGTCTGGAGAGTTCTCTGCTCACAACTCCCGGGAGGAACTTGGCCCGCCTTTGTCCTGGAGGCTCCATCGGGGTGAGCCTCAGCTGGGCAGTGTTGGTGGGGATGGAGGACCAGTGACCTGGCAGAGGCTGGGTGGCAGCAGGGCTGGTCCCCTGCATGGCTCCTCCGTGGAGGCAGCTGTGGCAGGAGGCCTGGAGCCAGAGCGAAGCCCCCAACAGGCAGGATGGCTGTTGCCACTCCCGGATGCCCCCTCTCTGAGGGCAGGATCAGAGCTGTCAGAGGCCTCCAGCAAAGTCTGGGATGAGGACGGCAATGAGAACCTGATGGCAGCTGGCACCGGTGCTGAGCCAGCCTCAGGGAGCCCCTCACCTGCAGGTGGCTCCTCCGACTTCAGAAACGATGGGAAGCCCCAAGAGGCTCTTCCCTGCGTGGGCCTTGGGGAGGAGCAGGAAGATTCCGGAACCAGCGAGAGCCTGACAGGTGGATCAAATACAGGAAAAGCCAGGCGGGTGTCCCCCACGGCAGCCTGTGTGCTGTTCCCATCCCAAACCTCTTTCTCCAGTGACTTGGACCTGTCACTGTCCTTTCCCTCGGGGACCTCTACATCTGAAGGCATGGATTCCAGCAAAGGAGAGGTGGGGCCTCCGCAGGCCTCGGCTGGCTGCCAGGAGGGGCCTTGGGGTGCAGACCAGAGTCCCTTCAGCAAGAAGAAACCCCTGCAGGCTTCTCCTGGGGACCCCAGTGGGTTGGCACCCCCAGTCGCGGAGAGCCAGGCACCTGGGCGTCGGGGGAACGTCCTGGAGGAAGCTCTCCCCCCACTTGCTGGCAGACTCTTGACAGAGATCCTGTCTCCTGTGGATGAGATACTATCCTATGGCAGTGCCGACCTCCCATCTTCCATCCACAGGGATGCCCACCGCCCTCCACCCCATCCTGCCCCCCAGGCAAAGAGTGACTCTGACGCTGCCAGCCTGTGCTCAGATGAATTCCCTTCCCCGCTGGAGGAGGCTGTGCTCCCCGAGGGCCCCCTAGGGGAGGACACCTCCATC